AAATGCTTTCTCAAAAATCTTATGTCTGACTAAGAATTATTGACAGGAAATTGGACTGACCTCAGTTAAACATAAGTTTTGCTTTTAGTTCATTTTCAGTATGCTGTAAATCTCTCCTGAGTATTGTAGTGCTGAGCTTTTCAAAAATAAAGTTCACACTGGTTTTGCCCGTGTTATTATAAATTATTCTAAAGAGCTGACAGAAGCACAATTAAAGCTACGACTGATGTTCTGACTATCTTATACAGTGGTACTTTAACCTTTGATTTGCAACTTTATTCAACAAAGTAAAAACTCAAAGCTTATTGCAATGACATTTCAAATTTTGAAGCATAACCACCATAAGCTATTTAACAATGGAAAGTTATGAAATGCACCATTTGGCAAAAACTATTTCATTGCAGCTTGATCTAATTGTAAACCGATGGGGGTGGACAATTTTGAATGGACAATGTCTCTTTAAGTGAACAAAAGTAAAAAGGTTTGCATTAATATTCTGTTTACTTAACAATGAAACCTTGCTGTCACGAGTTGATTATTTCACCTCATTCTCAGTCAACTTTATTTACACACGATTTTTGTTCATTACCTTGGATTGGTGCTAGTTTTTTGTTATTGCCCTGATCAAGCAAAATAGTTTATAACTAGGGCAGTAAGTGAAGCAAATCTTTTTGTATTTTTGATCCATGCACTGAGAGTTTAATCTAATAATGGTAACTTAATTTGGTATGTTTATGACCATTGCTTTGGAAGTCTTGGAAATACAAGTTTGATTGATCAGCTGGAGCGGCAGTAAATAACTCACTTTAAAGGCTGTTCATCATACCTGCTTTTACTAATTCTCTCTATTTCAGCTGTTGCTATCAGAAAATCACTTCACCCTTGATTGACAAGCACAATGACAAACTGATCAGAGAGTTGGAGGGCAATGTTGCTACCCTGTAAAAAGGGGAAAAATTAAGAGTTTTTATTCAACAAGAACAAAAAAAAAAAAATTTGAAACTGTCTTCAAATTAGTCATAAATGGTACTCACTTTGTGAGTGAAAGTGGTAAGAGGTCACCCCCGATACCTTCAGTTGTATCAATATATCTTTCATATAGCTTTTAACATATAATGAAGCTCTCAACAAATAAGAACATGTCTCATACTAAAACTGCATTGATGAATGAATTTTTTCCATGGAGATTAAAAAATTACCTAAGGAAAATAAACGTAAGCCCAGAAGGCGATGGTAATCGTTACACATTCAAGTGAATGGTATTTTACAGACACCTCGTTTTTGGTTGCTAAGGAGCTGATTTTCAGGTCAAACGACATTCATGTGTAAGATGAAATGGTACAGAGGGTTGAAAGACTTTCCTGGAAAAATTGGGGTTGCTAGAGGTTTTATCGCAAATTCCATTGAGGGTAAAGACTAATTTTCATTAAAGGTAAAATCAGATTAACCTTCAACGTCACTACAAAATAACCGTGGTTTGTTTCAAGATATCACGGAGAAAATCTTGTCATCGTATTAAAAAAACGAGGAGCTTACAGCGGCTGATAAGACTTAAAATAGTTCAAGAAATGAGATTTTAATTTTTAATTAACATGAATTAAAGATTAACAGTTAAAGACTAGCTCACCTTGATATCCGCGTTCTCCGGTCGATCGACGCGGAAGTGAAGATTGTTGATGTTGCTGTAACTGATTCAAATTTCTCACCAAACACGAGCGAAGATTACATTTTTATCTTTTTCGATGCACTGATTTACCTTTGAAATTCCAAGCAAGTCTTATTACCATTAAAAGTCTGAAAGAGCACGGCAATTAGAGCTTTTCTGCGAGCGTGTTCTAGAGTGTGCTCAACAAACGTGACCCACTTGTCGGGGGGAAAAACGATCCTCCGTGGATTTATACCCCCTCCCAAAATAGTATTAATTAACAAATATGATAAAAACGCCGCCTAAAAGGAAAGTTTGATGGGGGGGGGGGGTCCATATTCGCTAGCAGATTTGGACGGGGGGGGATAGGAGGTCCAAAATCCGCTGTAACACCGGTACGGATCATGAGGCCAACGACATTGAATAGTAAAATCTCCTCGATTTCGACGACTTCGCGTCCATTGTGATCATACGGCTACACCCTTTGGAAAGTGGTGTATAGAAATATCCGGTATATGTGTATTAATCTTGTAGCTAACATCACTTGGGGCCCTGGCCACGCAATACGTTCGTCCTTTCCTCTTGATTTCTCCTCTCTCCACCATACTCGCCGACGTGTCTTCACAGTTTTCTACGTTACCGCAATGTAACATGATCGTTTTGGCCACGCGCTTAATGGGAACACTTTTTGGTCGCCAAATCGCACTTTCAATGCGCAAAAAAATTGGTCAAGGAGAATTTGCTAGGCGCTAAGGTCGAATGTTTCTAATTTTTAAAAAAGCTATCAACCAGGAAATGCATTGGCACTTTAAAAGACTTAATATATGAGTATCAGGAGATAAAGTCAGTATCTCACAATGTGTACCGTGTACATGCAGCCACAATAGCATATGTCACCTAAGGAACAATTCAAGTTTCTCAAACAAGAATGATATAATATAACCATGACTTAACTGTAACTCACTTGACAATTTTGAGAGTATAACCAATACAGTACTATGTTAAATTATTTTACATTTTAGAGTTATGGAAATACTTGTCAAATACAGTTTCCCTTCTTCCACCAAACTCAACTGACTCTTGAAAGCTCTGACGACTGAATGTCAACCACAATGCACTATTTACGTTAATATCAAATGGAATATTTAGAAATTTAGTAACAAATTAACAAACAGCTAAATTCATTCACAGCGTATGTTGAATGCCATGAAAATAAGAAAAATATTGATCCTAAATCATGAAATTGATATTCACATTGTTTTTTTGCTTTTAGTGAAGACTTCAATGTATAGTTGAAGTTTTGCCCTTTGCCACATTAAAACATCTACGATTTTATGAATAACTGCTGCTTGAGGACTTCTTACATTTGTATCAAAAGAAATGACAGTCAGCCTAATGAATTAATTGATTGCCTAGGAAGCTAATAACCAAGCCTAATAAACTAAAAAAAATGACAAAAAATACCTCAGTCTCTAACTCACCAACATGAAAACCAGATTTTGAAACTCAAAGCTGTCAGTCAAAACTACAATCAACAATATTGGACAACGAAAAATAACCTAAAATCAAAATATATCCAAATCCAACAATCAATTTCAAGGACAGGACACTCTGACTCCAAAGAAAACTCCCACATGTTCTCAATAATGTTGTGGAAGGGAGTTCCCACATTAGTGAAGGTATCCGTTTACCTTAGCTAAGTGATTCTAAACATATATTTCCTTATCTTTTATCCGACCACTGATTGTTTGTACGTTTGATCACAACACTGAAGTCTCTTACCATTGATCAGAAACCTACAAGACCAACCAATCATCTTGAAATGTCCTTTATTTAATCAGGTTTCCTAAACTTGTTTTCAAATTTTGTTCAAAACGATGGATACAACTTTAAGGTATTGACTTCTCTAACTGAACAGATCTGAAAGAATTCTATCAATGGATGGACTGCTCTGGCCAATGGTAAGTTTCCTTAGTTTCAGGTGGTCTACTGAGCCAGTCCTGGTCAGTTACGTTTCCAGGCAGGATCCAGGCTCTTCCTCGTCACTGGAGTCGGTAACTGACCCAGGATCTGACTCTTCTTCTGATTCGCTCCAATGATCTTCCCAGTTTTCATCTGTTGGCCATTCTTCTTCAGGTTTGACATTCCCTTCCTCATCCTGTCATAAATCACAAACCAACAATCAACATTATCTTGTCAAACAACATACACCTGTACTCCAATTTGTTTACCCTTGATACATTTTATACAGAGAGATATTATGCCATGAGTATGTTTGACTGAGTCAATTTAAAACAACTTTTATGTTAAGGAACGTTCCTTGTAAGCAAACATCACAAGGCTCACCAAAATTTAGATATATTCTAATTACATCCATGGTAGGGCCCATACTGATTAGGTTATTAGAGAAATAAGCTGAAGTGTGCATGAACACCTCTCCTAGAGTCTTATAGGTACTAGACCTGACAAGCCCATGCAGAGAATACAACTAAAGGTAACCTTTTGAGGAAAAGACTCAGAACAAGGAACTGCTGATGTCTCCTCTTTAAAGGTTATGAATATTTACTTAGTGGCTCATCCACAGCTAGTACTCATTTCCAAACTTAGGAAACTACAAAAGTGGACATTATTTGTGAGCATTTCAAATGCTGCAATATTTTTGTAGTTCAGCAGCTCATCAGCTTAGCAGTCTGCTTAGTAAGTTAATATAAAAAAATTAATGTAAAGACATATCACCAGTAAGGGCAAGTTTGATTCAGACAGATGTAACCTTCATTATTATTTTTACACAGGCTGATTAACATGAAATTCTTTGGATAGAGTAGGATAAAAACATAATTGATCAAAGTAACTGTACACGGTTGACATTTGAGAATCTCTGCCTGCCAAATTTGAACCAGTATCTCTCTTACAGTGGTAGCATTCTTTCTCTACTACTTTTCAAGTGGAAGCCCTTGGTCATTTCTTTTCTAATCGACAATGTTCCTGGTAACTTTTGGTTAGGACCAGAGGGAGAAAAGGAAAATCTGTGTGAAAGGAAGTTTAAGGGAAAAAATTCTGTGGTGCCTTTACAGCATTTTTTCAAAACCTAATTGATATAGTAAACCACTGAGTTAATCAATCAAATAAAATTTATAGATTTATGCTAACCTTCCTTCTACAAAACTCCCAAATACTATTCCAGAAGCTCTTTCTAAGGGAATACTCAGGTATTATAATTTTTTTCTCAGAGCGTCCAGAAACACACCACATTTCCTTTGAAGTTTAGCTTTTCCTCCATCAGAGAGAAGCTTGAATCAGCTTTAAACTATGACATTGCTTAACAACTCCTAAGAGCTGTAAATAAAACAAAGTGAAAAAACTAGGGTCTCAAATTATTTCTTACAGACAGATGCTCAGTTCATGGTAAGTACAAGCAATTGTCTACTCCCTCCATTCTGTTGCCCTTACGGAAATCAAGACCATTTTCCGAAGGAAAAGAATAGCTAAACGAATAAACAAAAGTCGAAAACCAGTCCTAGCAGATTTCCTAAATTTTAAGACAAGTTTAGAAAGTAGCTCCTTGATCTCTTCCAAACACTGACATTAACTTTCTGTCATTAATATCTGAAAACACGCGGCCGTCCTCACATTCAAGCGCACAGAGTGGTAACGCATTTACTTTCGTTTTACTTTATTTTCTCCTTTTTTCTCTGGTCCTAATAATTATTATAAAAGGAATAGATTTATCGAGGTTAATGGGATGAATTAGGAATGAAGTGTATCCTGTTTCTGTGTTTCCACTGTAGACACACAAAATAATATTGCTTAAGACACTCAAAAACAGACTACACGCTTCAGAATTCACCCTTCTTCAAACGTAAACAAACATACTTAAATGGGCTCTCATCTTCACTGAAAAAAATTACTTGCTTTGCTTCCAAGTTTAACAGATTAAATGGTAGCGACAACGAGCGACTGTATAACGTTCTCATGCATGTAAGCCTTTTCAGTAATTCGGAATGTAAAACTTTGTAATTGAAATCGTTAAAATCATTAAAAAGCCACAATATTTGCTTCGCTTTGGATTTCCACTCTTACGAACCGTTTGCGAGTCGGCTTGTTGCGACAAAACACAAAAGAATGTTATGAAAGCATGATTAAAACGGAACGGAATTGAGCTGCGAATTACCCTTTGGCCAGCAATGCAGATAATGGACTGGGCTTTTTCTTTTTTCTTTTTTCTTTTTTTTTTTGGACTGGGGATTCTTAAGGAATCTAAAGAAGATGCTCCATTTCAGTTCAACTTTGACTGTTGCCCGCTCATGTGTTTTTCGGAAATGCTCAAGTGTCTCTTGTGGCTTGGAGATAGCTACATCGCAATTGCTCCGCGAACCAAGGGCGTAAAAATTCTTAAAACAACACCACAGGAAATTGGATAGAATCTATAAGAATTATGACTACAATTATGCAAACTACGATCACAAAACTTACGTGGTATTCTGTTTTCAACCAGTAGATGTTACTCTGACGTACAGTTGCACTCAACTCATTCACTTGCTGCTTTGTCATTTTAACTTTAGAAAGCCACAGCCTCTCCAGGTGAGGAACACGGCTGAGATGTTGAGTAAGAACACTTACTCCTTCACCAAGAGGGTTCTCTGACAAGTTGAGGTGTCGCAGGCTAGGAGCCTGGTGCAGAGATCTGGCGATGGCTACGACATGTTTGGCTGTTAAATTGATATTAGTAAGTACTAATGTGTGAAATCTGTCAGTGAAGATGATACGAGACACCAGGGTCTCTGTCAACTGAGCATCAATGACTTCAGAGGGTTTACCAAAAATACCTAACCATCGGAGAGCAGTGAAAAGTGTTAAGAAATCAGCCAGCATCTTTATCTCTTGCCTTTCTATGCCCTCAATACTAATCCGCTTCACAAAGGAAAGGCTCTGAGGAGTCGGACCAGTGATGCTATCGGTGTTCTGAGTCAAACTCGAAGCTGTTTCGCTGTCGTGTTCATTCAACGGATCAACAAGACGCGTCACCTGAGTAGACTCTGCTGTTGGCGAAATGAGCTCTCGCAGCATTTCAGTCGGAAAAGTGCTACCATATATATCTTTGCGTATTTGATAAACATAAACGACGATTTTCGTCTCTCTCTTCAAAAAGAACTCGCCCACAGGACGACACGGGAACTTCTTCAGTAAATCTGCAGCTTTCTTTTCGCCCGAACAGCTCAAAAATACAGCATTTGTGTCCTCCGCTACAGTGATCAAGTCTCGATAGCTTTTCTCTGAAGAACCCATGAAGGGAAGAAAAAAGATAAAGTCAGGTATTGTGCCAGATTTAAGGAAATGTTCATTTGCAGTAATGTTCAGCTCGTTAGAATCAAGATACAAAACACTTCCGGTGTAATAGGGAAACACTGAACGGAGATCTGGCCTCTTCTCGGCCGAACAACAAAAGAAGCTATGCGAGATAAGCTCAAGATCAAATTTTTTATTTCGAGACACTTCTGTATTCTCCAGGTGCAGCTCAATAAAATCACATTCCGACCAAGATTCCTTTCTTCCAACGGACCCTACATGACAGAAAACTGCGCACGCGGCTTCTGTTGACAGCTCACAGGCAAATTTAAGAACTTCACTCATCTTCACGATCTTTTCGAATGATTCAACTTTGGAAAGGCTAGGCGTACTTTCTCCTTTAATCGACAACACTTCCTCCTTAATGTGCCAGGCTGCAAGGAACTCCTGCATGGATTTATGAATGAAATAGGCCCCTTTCTCAGGATTGAGACTCGTAAGATTGACAATCTGGAAAAGCCCAACTTCTCTTAATTTTTGAAAACTTCTTGAAATATTGTCGGGGAGTTCGCTGCAGCGTACGTAAAGACGGTCTTGCAGAAGTGCTTCAAAGGCAGCCTTTCCAAGATTACTAAGGTCTTCTTTAGCTTCTGTTGAGGTCACTTTCTGAAATGGCCTAGGCTGGCGACTTCCACCTTTGTGATCCAGCATAGTTTGAATGAATTGTGTGAATATGTCAGCCCGTGATTTTGGCAGTCCTACGTGATGTTTCTCTTTCCACAAAATACACAGCATCAGTAGGAGGAGAGGTATTTCTGCCATGCCACCGAGATTGTTTTCATACAGGTAGGACATAAACTCGTCAGGATGTTCTTCACCTGCCAAAAGTTTTCTTGCAAAGGTTTCTTTTTGTTTCCAGCTTTTGAATCCTTGAATTTCTAACTGAACATGGCTCGGGCCTCTTAACTCGTCACATTGAAGTTGACGCGTGGTGACAATAATAGGACAATCTCTTAGTTGCTCACCCTTCCAAATTGCAAGGATGGGTGAGCGTTCTTCTGCAAAGCTGTACTCATCGTAGCCATCCAAAATAAGAAGCACTTTATCTTGATTGTTAACTATGTAGTCATAGAGACTATCAACGGAGATCGGACCGTCACTGGCAAGCAATTTAGACGCCATTAAAACATCGCGGATGTTTCCCACGTCACACACATCTCTCAACTTAATCAGAAGCAAAATGCAAAAGTTCATTACGATTTCTCGTAAGTCTTTCGACCAATCATATGCAGCCCTCTTACAAAACGTACTCTTGCCAATTCCTGGCCGACCATAAACAAGGATTCGTTTTCGTCTTTTCTTGAACATGTTGGTGTAGTCTTTAAGTTTCTTTTGTGTCACTCTGCTGGGCCTCCTGTGGTATCTCACCAAATCCAAAGGTGTGTAGATCTCATTGATCTCAATGGAAGAGCTTTCGTCCCATGGAACGATTTTCACCTTACTGATGGTGTCATAATAAGATTTTAGCTTCTCTTGGCACTTCTCAACATTCAACGGTTCTGAGAAATAGAGAAAACAAACATGAACTTTTATTGCTGGGATGAGAAAGCATACAACGCCAAGTTTCCAAAACCACACGAACTCTTGCTTGCAGAACAGACGCAAGTTTTTGGCGCTTTTCAGTCAAACGGAGGAAAGGGTGGGGCGAGCGCAAAGTCCGAGTTAAGTGCGAGGGGAGAAGCTCCAAAACAATATCTTATTTTCATTTTATGATCCATCATTAATTTTCGGCATTGAAGCAGCTGAAGTAAACCAGGACAAGAATAATAAATTGTTATAATAAAAGAATAAGGAAATGTCTTTTATCGTCTTGCCACGAGCGTTGGACAAAAAAAAATCAAGTCCTCCGACCTTTGGAGTCCGCGCTCAGACACTCCATTACTATAAGTATAATATAAGTTATTAAAACGAAAGCTTAATATGAAATTTCTTCATTTGATAATTATAATACCTGCAAGCCTTCTATGTTTATTTTCTGAAGGATCACCACTTTTACAACCCTCCTCCCCAGTTGAAATGTCTGCAAAAGAGAAAAGAAATTTATACTGTTAAGAGAATTAAAATACACTGACGAATATGATACTGAAGGGATGAATATGCACACGATGCCAAGTTTCTAACATCGCACGAACTCAAGTACAGTCTTCTTGGCATGAAACGATTAAGATAATGAAAAAAAACACCCACACTCTGTTCTTTAATTTTTTCCTTTGCCTGTAACTCATCTTAAATCGCGGGTAAAATTAAATTTCCAGCATTTATTTCATCATGGATCAACAATATTAGGAAATGAAGCGGCCAAGATAACATGAAAAAAAAGTTCATGAATTTTATTTCTTAAAATTTTTGCGCAGTACTGTTTCTTGAACAAGAATGACAAATTGGTATAAGAAAAGGGAAAGGAAAGAAGTGTTACTGTCTTGTCACGAGCGTGAAAAAAAAAGGAAAAATTTTGAGTCCTCCCCAGAAGTAGAACATAACACCTTCGGATTCTGCGCTCGGACACTCACTATAAGTATAAGGTCAAATCGTAATGAGAACACACTTTACTAAATTTGTGAATTAGGTAACAAGCAGGAGTCGAAATAAGAGCTGATTGAAGACGAAAATCTTGTGTGAGCCTGATTACGGAACAAAAGAGAACAGAGAAAATGATGGACTTGGAGAATTGAAATTCATTAGGAGGGAATAAAAGTTAAGATTTAGATCTCAACAAAGTTTTAACCCTATCAATAATTAGGAGGGCAGGGGGAGGGGGTAGTTGATAAACGTGTTTATTCAGCGATTTGTAATACCTACAATCTAGGACAAAGAAAATAGATTTAAGACTTATTAAATACAATAAAGATGCAGAAGTAAGTTATTTCTTATTAACCCTCTCTAATCTGGAATTTTAGAACGTTATCCATGACTTCAAAATTGGAATTAAAGCTACCAAAGTGAATTTGTTCCTATCTAAGACTTTTTGAAAGTTCTTTTTCACAGCAATGCGATTGAAAAACAAAGAATGCGTATGTTTTTCAGTTTTCTGATATATATTTGATTCCACTGTTGGTCTTCATGTTCTCTTCAGCAGATACCGATATTTTATACCAAGGACAACAGGCAAGCCTTATGAAACGTCTCCTGATGAATTTGTTTCAAGGCCAGTTCGTGCCATTGCATTATGTATCCCTACTGTGCATCATTTTAGACGAAAAATGCACGCCCACATACGTGAACAAAAGATATCTTGTTCTTTTTTTTTTCGGCCAGTAAGAAAAATTTTCATCGCCACGAAATTGGATTTGGTGACATACCATTTATATCTATAGTTTGCAATCGAGCGAAAAGCACTAAAACACTCTTTTCCATACAATAAGCAACTTGGGTAAAGCCACTCTAAATCTTCGTCACTGGGATGAGGGTTAACGGGCACGTCCATAGATATGTCCTCGTTTTACCTGCCAAACGAGTTTTTCTTTTCTTTGGAGTTAAGGCACTCGGATAACTAAGAATGAAAACTTGCAAAGGCACTTGTAGCACATGCACACTTGTATCGCATTCTTAACAAAGGTAAGAAAAAACTAATCGGGACAGATGTTTTTGGTCAATAGATAAGCTTTGCGCAGCCTTGACGATTTTCCTTTTCCACCTGAAAGTTTTAAGGTTTTTTCCTTGTTTAGGGCTATTTCGTGCGATTGCATTACACATCCCTACATGTTATATATATATATATAATTTTGCACGTGATAAGGAGGCTCACATACACAGACTGAATTTTTTTTTTTTTTGAGTTTAGTGACCTATCATTTTCTTGTCTTTTTAAAATTCGAGCAAAATACTTGGAAAAAACTATCCCTTCTGTAAAATAAACAGCCAGTGTAGAAAGACAGAGTCGTTAAAAAAGGAAGTTTACAACGGTATTTTCTGTATCTTTGCATTCTAGTGGGTGTCATGTTGCTTTCCAGCATACTGATATTGACTTAGCTATTCATCGAAACATTTATCTCTGATGAAAAAAATTCACCAGTTCGTTTCTTACGATCAATGGATACCAAAGTCTAAAAAGCAGGAGGAAATACTGGCAACCTTACACTTATAGCTGGCAGTTAAGTAGTGAGTGAATTTTGCGCTATCAGAAAACTACATGAAAAAAACAAAAACGCAACAAATGATCTTCCTTCGCTTTGATTTGGTTACCTACGAATGAAGCGACACTTTTCCAGTTTCGAGGCACTGTCAACAACGTACATAAGAGATACAGTGGCCAAAAAGCATGGTGTCTGAGAATTTAGGCACTATACTTGTATGTAATCGTATTTTCATTGAATTGCAAGATTAGTGATATATTACCAGAGATAAATGGTGCACAAGTTGGCTATACTCTAAAGGATATTAATGCAGGTCGAAATTCCAGTAGGGATACTGCATAGAAGGCCAAAATGAAAGCAAAAGCAAACAGCGTGATAAATGTTCTCTTCCCTACATCAAAGGGAACATTAATCTTTAGGTCTTCCATTAGTGTGCATGGAGACTAAACTTCTTCCCACCTTTAATTTGCCCCAGTGAACATAAAGTATTGTCCATATTCCTTCAATAATTTTGAAATATATAACGTTCATCATTTTCTAAATAATTTCCCTTGATGACAGAGCACTCCACGAAGGGATCATGTGCTACAGAGACAATTCATGAAACTTTAACCAACAAGGTTTCATGTCTAAAACAACAAATTTGCTCCAACATAAATCGCAAGTTCATAAGGGTTAGCATCCATTTCTAACAGGAGTTTATCATAGGATTACCCTTACTACTTTTGAGTAATGTGAATCAAATATTCAGTTAGCAATGATAATTTGGTTTCATTAACTGACGTAATAATGCAAATTTGCCACCGTAAAGCTGATGTTTCGAGTGTTGGCCCTTTGTTGGACTGATTAAAGGAATGTGGGTTGTGTGTGGTTTATAAAATGGGGGTTGCTGATGAAGGGGGAAGGCAGGAGTTTCTAGGTGTATTATTGGGGGGTTGGGGGGTTGGTGGTCTTCTTCCCAGAGGGAAAATACTATCAAAAGCTTGAAAACATCCCACCATCAATCTTTGTGGAAAGAAAATTAGAGTTCCTGTATGTTGAATTGACGTCAACGTCATTATCTTAAAGCCAAGTGCAACATACATGAGCAGAGCCTGTGAAATTGCTGACGAACATGTAAAATTTCTGATCCAAGAGCTGATCTGATTAGTCACCGCATGATCATAGGTCATTAATCATGTTTTCAATTCAGTTTTGGTACTCAGTTCCAGCACATTTATAAAACACAAAACTAAACAGCATACAAGACTATACTACAGGCCAAAAAAGATAAAAGTTGATCTGTTTACCTTTGTAATGTGGCCAATCTTCAAAAATACTGCATTCCTTTAGAATGCTGACAACAAGAGAAGCTGCTGTTACACTTGCAAATGTTTGCCAGTTTTCTTTTGATTCAGTTCCATCTGCATATCCTGAAATACCCTTGATGACAACCCACTCCATTTTCAGATCATGTGCTGCACTGAAAATACCTGAGACATACAATAACAAGCTATTATGAATAAAACAAAAGGTATTCTCCAACATCTATTAATTTTAACCTTTCCCATTGTTACAATTGTTATCAAAGATTTGTAAAGAACTAGAGATATATTTTGGAAAGTCACCTTACATATACAATTTGCAGAGCTAGTAACTGTAGCACAAGTTTCTTCCAGGTTCCATACCATTCAGCCACTAAGACTGTACTCTTATTCACTCCACATGTATATGAAATACTGGTCAATTCATCAGTAGCCATCTATACTCCTGGATATAAAGACACACTGTGAGAGTAAAGCCTCCCAGCCAAGACTAGAACACAATCACTTTAGCCCAGGGCTTGAACCCAGACCTCTTGATCTAAAGTCCAGTATGTTCACACACAAGCCAGTGCATCTCTCAACACTTGCAGAAAAGCTTACTTACAACATACGAGTATCAACTCTTTCTTTCCAGGATACAAATATACCCAAATATCTCTTTAAGCAGATTTTACAGTAACAGTTACTTCAAAGGAAAAAGAGATCTTACCCTCTCCTTCTGTTTCAATTGCAATTGCTTCAGGAAATGACTTCACTAGTTCCTCTCGTCGCCATTCAGCTTGCACGACCTCAGTACCACTCAAAACCTCACCACAGAGGACTTCAACTTTCCTCTCTTTAGGATTTTCTAAGGGTGGATTCCAACCATGACCTGCACATTTAATGAGTTCAGCAATGTCTCTGCTTACAGGAGTTGTGAACCCACAAAATTTCTTTCCATCCTTTGTAACCTTCTGGTAGGAATAGGTTGTGAGCTTTTCTGATAGAACCACATCCCCAAGCTTTGTTGATTCCTGATTCATACCACTACAGTGGCCCACAGAAAAGACAGCTTTTGGCCTCAGCTGAGTGACAGCATTTTTTACAACAGTCAAAGCACCACCAGGAACTTTACAACCCTCTGAGCATTTCATCAAAGCTACTTTCAGTTTAACATCTTGATCTTCACCAAAGCTGCCAAAGTACACATGACCAAGCCCTTTAAAGTAGCTTCTATATGGATCATTAATGTAATGGTAGCAACTTAAGAATTCACAGTCCTTCACTGTTAACAACAGAATGTCAATTGGGAGTTGAACATCCTTCCATCGTTTAGAATCCTGGGTTAGTTCACTTATCTCTGGAAGACTAATATTGACCTTTGGTGGGTCACCATAAATGTTCTTTGAACTGCTCTCATCAGTTCTCACAGTTTCTGACATTGCCAATCAGCTCCTGAAAATAAAAGCAATACAGAAACATATAAAAACTAGATTTTAATCCAATTGAATTCACCATATTTGAGCCTGGACACAATAACTATCCTCCAGTCCTGCCCATTTAATCAATGTTTAATTCATGCAACTGTAGAAGTTAATGTTAATTTATTTTGGAACAGAATTATATTAAAGATAATCTGCTTCACTGCAGAAATCTACTAAGACAATCATTTTAATAACTGAAAAATACAAAATCAATCATAGTGGGTGTCAAAGCCAAAATACAAATATAGATTTGTGTTTTTTTATGAGCTTGTACCAAATAGATGTAAAATTACAGGCAGATATGAATAATCACATCTGGTGGCAAACATCAAAGAAAACTGGACACATCTCCAGTTTGTACAACTAAGCTTATACTGTACTCAGATCAAAACATATGATAAAGAATATCAACCTAAGGTCTTGTCCCAAGCCCAATGCACAGAGGTTGCATAAATTAGTTATTTTTCTAGTTTAACATCCTTTTCTTAAAGGCAGCCAGTTATATATTTGACACTGTTTTGAAACAGATTCTTATCAAAGCCCTGGGTGATAATTTTTTGCATTTGGGTGCTTGATTCAAGTTAAAATGATCAATTTGTTTAGAAAGTGTTACATGATTGTAACAGTCAAGGGTGACAAAGGAAACAGAACAGTTGAAGCAAAATTCCAGCATGGCTGTGTCGAACACTGTGATAGTCTAAGCTTTAACCAGTAACTGATACTGATTAATTTTTGATGAGTGACAAATGAGACAGGACTGCTAGTGTGCACAGCTGTAACTGTTTCCACAGCCCAAGCATATGATGGTCTTCAATTAGCCACTGATACTAATTTATTTTTGATGGGTGAAAAGTAAACAGTAGAGTGTGTGTAGAACCATTCCCACAGCCTATGCATATGACAGTCTTTAGTCAGCTGGTCATTACACCTTCTCCAATCAGTCTGAAAGGTAATCTGGTGGGGGATTGGACATTTTGAAAGAGAGAGCCTGAAAACAGGCTTTAACAAATAATCCTCAGAACAGTGTTGTGGGAAAGGAAACAAGCTGCCAAAAAGCTAAAAATTTACCAGTTGGGGATCACATAGAACCCAACATTTTCCATTGTTGAGCACTGCTTATTTAACAGTGTCAACCATGAAGATGGGAAAATTGACACCAAAAACAGGCCACAAAAATTGCTATCTACTGGTTGCTTAATGTGTATTAAACAATGAACTGATCTTCTGCAAATTGGTAACAGGAATAAAGAGCTGTGAAGTCAGGAAGTGAATCAAAGCATTAACACTTGATGAGGCAATTGATATCATCAGTGCTGGAAAAATATACACCATTGAGGTGAAGAACATAGACTTAAGGAGCTGTAGAAGCACCCTTAAGTATGGTCAAGAATCAAAAAAAGAAATCTGACACCACACAAAAGGTACTATTATAATGCTGAGACTGTGCATGGAAATCCCACAAAACAATGCACATCAATTTCCTGTCACTGGCACAAAATTAATGTAACAAGTGTCACAAAAAAAATTATTTGTTACAATCTTCACAGCCTTTGTTAGCAATGGAGGAGATAAGATAACAAGGGAAAATTTTAACTAGGAACAGTGTGTCAAAGAAATCTGCCAAGACTTTCAATCAAGCTGAAGAATCAGATGATGAGCTATACATGTATATACATGTACATATATATATCTCATATACTCAGAAGCAGACAGGGATCATACCAAATACTTGGTGGAGCCTCAGCCTATTTACTCAACTTTGCGAGTGAAATCAACCGTGGCTCAAATAATTTCAGTATAGCACAATTGAATGTTCGAAGCTTGAGGAATAAGATGGATGAAATCAAACTATTACTTAAAGTGTGTCGTTTCGACATTTTAGCAATTACCGAAACATTTTTAGACGCGAGAATATCGAACAAGCAACTACATGTGGATAACTATAAGATTGTTAGAAGGGACAGAAATACGGGACAGGATGGAGGTGGCTGCTTGATTTACATTGCGAGCCATATTTGTTATTCAAGGCTCAAATCCCTAGAGCCCCCTGATGTTGAATTAATCTGGATCAAAATTATGCATAATTCGTCTGCGTTGATATTAGGCCAGCAAGAGTTACAAGTGAGACAAAAACACTGATTGACTTGGTTATTACCAGCAAGCCGGAGATTATCAAAGGAACTATTAAAACAACTGAGTTGGGAATCTCAGATCATAAGCTGGTTCTTGCTACAATATGGTCCAAAATGTGCCTCCAAAGATAGTCAGGGCCCGCACCTTCAAAAGATTTGATCAAGCTACTTTTGTGAAGGATATCGAGAGTCAGTATGTTCAGTGTTTAACGATCCAGACGATTGCTATTGGGCGTGGTTACGCATATTCAAAGATATCTGTCAGGTGCATGCCTTATATACTTGGATAACACCGCAAATACGGCACTTGATGAATAAACGTTTCAAAATGCTTAAAATGGCACAACGTCTGGGTGATCCAGACCTGTGGGCTGAGTATTCGGAGTTGCGGAATAGAGTGACAGAAGTGAGGCTTTCTAAGACAGATACTATTTGGAACTGTTCAATGAAGTGAAGGACCAAATACTGGAGACTGGTAAAAAATGAGACAAACGGCAAATCGATTACCCCGATATTAGGGATCAGGAATGCGGGTGGAAAAGTTGTCACCTCCGATCTGGACAAAGCGAACATACTTAATGCAGGCGAAAAACTGGCCACGAATTGCCGAATCAATACACAAAGTAACGTTCATGTATACCGTCGCGCCTTGTGTTATGAACATAAATTTATCGCAGGAGGTTATTGTTAGTTCGATGGCTAAGTTGAGAGCCGATAAAGCCTCTGGGCCCGACAGAGTTGCTCCAAAACTTTTAAAGTTTGCCGGTGACTCAATTATTCCATCATCTTTATTGTCTGTCTTTCAAATAAGCGCCACCTGCAACAGTGTACCGGCTACTTGGAAGGCTGCAAACATCTCAGCTCTCTATAGAAGTGACGATGAAACCGTTAAGCAAAATTACAGGCCTATCTCGCTATTAAGTGTACCAGGAAAACTGATGGAGTCTATGGTGGCGTCAACTATTACCACGCATGTCACTGAACAAGGACTTGGGAACCCTCACCAGTGGGCGTATTCATTCCACCGAGCTGTTGTTAGTGAAAATAACGGATGACTGGAGACAAGCGATCGACAAGAAACATGTTGTATGGTTTTTGTAGACTTTCGTAAGGCGTTTGACGCAATTCCCCAATTCTTCCGAGAACTTCAAAGTCTTGGTGTAGCTGGGGACTTGTGGTGTTGGATAAGAATTATTGGAAGAACGCAAGTAACGACGATTAATGGGTGTCAATCAAGCTATGAACTTTTGGTGTACCTCAAGGGTCGGTGCTGGGCCCTACCCTGTTTTCCATCTTCTGTAATGATCTGCCCAATATCACTGAGGGAATAGATGGTGACCCACAGCTTCACATGTACGCAGACGATACCACCGTCTATGTCTCAGCTCCGACCTATGATCTGGTGGCCTCCAAGTTGAATGAAGTACTAGCAAGGCTATATACATGGTGTTGCGAGAACTGTCTCACTCCACATCCCACCAAGACGGAATATATATTGCTTGGTGGACGCGGAAAATTTACTGGGCCAAAACAAGCTATTAAGATAGGTGATTATGTTGTCGGGGAGGTTGTTTCTGCAAGATGCCTAGGTGTTCAGATAGATAATGCTCTTAAATGGGATCATCATGTATCGGAATTAGCTAAGTCATATACGCAGAAGTTGAATTTACTTAAATCCTTGTATTTCCTTCCTATACAGGCAAGAATTGATTTCTATTTTAAGGTTATTCTGCCGTCTGTGACATATGGTATGTTATTCTTGTGGTCGAGTATTTTTTGCTTAGAATCTATACATGTTAGAGCGGCGAAAATAATATTTAACTTGGATTGGTGTACTCCAAGCAAGGAGGTTCTTGCCACAGTAAAATGGAATACCTTAGAGATTATGTATGAGAAACGATTACTAATCTTAGCGCATCAGGCTTATTATAATCTTTTGCCACGTCCCATGAGTCGTCACTTTGAAAAGTATGTAAGTAGCTACGACTTCAGGAGGAAAATGACATTTAAGTTACCTAGACCTAAGACCGATATGGTCAAGAAATCATGCTCATACAAGTCAATTACTCGGTGGAACGCTCTGGAAAATCAAATGAGATCAATTCAAGACGTTGACGCTTTTAAAAAGTCACTCAAGTGTATTTTTAAGCCACGTATGTTATAATGATGTACTATGTAGAATTTTTATTGTTGAAAATATGTAGAAATCTTACACTAGTCTTCTTATAATTAGTTAGGAATTTAGTTTTATTGGATTTAGTTAGGAATTTAGTTTTATTGTCCGTACACGACCACATCAGCTTTTGCTGAATTTTTTATCGTGTTTAAATAAATGCTGTTGTTGTTGTTGTTGTTGTTGTTGCTAAGGGAAGGTGTGAGCTGTGAGTGGACAAAACCATGGAAACAGATCATACTAATTATGAAAGGATACAAAAAGCATTTAAATCAGATCAAGCCTGCAAAACATTCAAGCTGTCTTAAAACCCACCAGTAAACTTTTCTCTACACATGTATGTGCAAGGTTTATCGTGAAATTGACTTGGTTTAATGGCCTTGAAAATTTTGAAAAATCAGCTATAAATTGCTAAGAAATAAATGAATGAAGTTCTTATTTATATGAAGTAAGGCTGTTTCAAGCTTTTTTATGGCTTGGTAATACAAAAGAGTGCTACAAAAACAACTACCTCAATCAAGGCAGAAGGAGATTGAAATGGTTTGCTTGAGCATAATATTACCATTGTGATATATTAAAGTAATAAAACACCTACAATGCTTATTTGTTGTAACTGATGAGAATGATCAGCATTGAAAATCAGTTCAAATCTGAACCATT